CCTACTGCGGTGGGGGTGGGGGGGGTATCAGTAAAATGAAGGAATATTTCCTAATGGATAAATATATTTTAGCATCAGACAGACATCATGTTTTAGTCCAGGTTGACCTCTAAGGTTAGCTTGTAGTTCTGTGGTTCTGGATCCAATCAGTTCTGTTCCTAGCAAAGACCTGCTGGGTCCGTTTCTCCAAGCTTCTGCAGAACATGATAAACCCATGGATGCTATAAGGAGGAGGCTCAGCTATCAGACCAACCAGTCCTTCTGGGTGCTTTGCTTTTGGGGAGGGGGGGCACAGATGAAGCAGAGGGAGGCTTAAAGGGCAGCAATGATGATGATGATGATGAAGATGGGAAGACATGCAGAAATGAACAGTAACACAGGAGCTAAGGAAGGCGTCCATGGATTGCTTCATATCTCGTCCTTCATGAGGTCTCATCGCCCTACCCAAGGAATTTGGTCCCCGGCGGACCAAGCTGGAGGATTCTGCTAACCAAACTCTCTCCCTCATTTAAAGGCGGAGGCGCGGCGGGGAGGTGGAGTTTACTGTGTGACGGCCATCGGCAGCAGAGTGGAGGAGAAAGAACACAGAACGTCTGGGTTCAATAACAGGTCAGATAAAATCAATACAAGCTCAACTTTATCAACACATTCAGCCTTTAACGTCACTACTGAGGCCCAAACAGACCAGAACTACAGCATCATCCAGGATCCGGATTAATAATCCATCATTTCCTGTTTCCCTGGGCTGAAAAGCAGACATGGAACAGAGGAAGTGTCCTTTATGGCAGGCGGGACGGTTGCTCCTCTAAACCTGCATCTATGTGAGCAGAAGGTCAGAGCCGCCTTCGTTTATTCTGCCTGATGTCATCTTCTCTGGGATTATTCTACTCAGATTAATCCTAAAGGATCTAAAACCACCAACTGGAGCGTTTTAAGCTGAACTGTCCTGCAGAACGTAAATAAAGGATGTCTCCACCAGAGGGCAGCGTGGCACCAAACATCAGACCAATCATGGAGCGTTTCTGCAGGTTATTAGAGAAGCTGTTAGAGTTCAGGAAACGGGAGACAGTTAGCGGTTAGGAAATCAAAGTGTGCATGCTGAGGAGCCCGGCGCCGGGAGGAAGCAGCAGCACAGAGTAGGCGGCTGGGGGGGGCAGCCTGAAAGAAAGAGGGCAGCAGGAAGGAGGGGGGCGGAGTCTTCACCAATTATCTCTGACGGGTTAAAAGGCCCGCTAGCAGAGCTAACCACAGCCAGCGGGGCGGGGCAGCCTTACCCCAGAAACTGAGCCCCAGACGGGCCCACCTCGATCAGCCTGCTGGCCAGACCCTCGCCCTCCACCATGGGGGGCATGGTGGCCAGACGGTGCCTCTTCACCAGCCGGCAGGTCACCCGCGTCGGGGCGCTGCACTTCTTGGGCGGAATGATGATGCGGAGGCCATTGTGTCTGCAGCCGCGCATGGCTCCGCCCCTGGCGTCCACCATGAAGCTGACCAGGAAGCTGGAGGGGAGACAATGGCAGACGTTAGGACGCACACTACTGATGACATCACACACCAGAACTCCCGATGACATCACCACAGTGACAAGCTGGGAGGGTCAAGAGGTCAACCAGATCCAGTTCTACGGGGGGGGGGGCGCGAAAAACTGATCTATTCAGCAGGATTAGGCTCCGTTATCGTTAAAAACTCCTTTTATTAATAGAAATATGAAAATAAATTCATCCAGAAATAAAACCTTGAAAATAACTTCAGAAAAACGTTTTAAGATCAGCTTTCCTGTTTTTCTTAGAATTCATTTTATTTCTGATTATTTAATACATTTTGACGGAGTCTTCCCTCCAAGGGGCGGGGCTTTCCGCTGGAGGGAGGAGTCAGGGCGTGTTCCTATTGGTCTGATGGACGATAGGCAAAACGTCCAGCTTATCTGGAGCACTGGAAGCGAAGAGGATGTGATCTGGAAAGAAAAGTCTATTTGAAATGAAAAAAAAAAAGATATTTTAAAGTATAAAATAATAATAAAATAGGAAAAAATGTAATATCTAAAAAAATGTAGTGATTGAAAAATGTAGATCTGAGAAAGTTTCTTTTAAAGTAGTTTTTGCTGAAGGAGTTTTTCAAAGTTTCATGTCTAGATTCTATTTTTTTATTTTATTTCCATGTTTATGGTTTGGAACAGAAACGGAGCAAACTATAGAAATTGATCCTAGAGTGAAGCTGCTGATGTCAGCAGGTAGAAGAGGATCTGCTAACCGCCTCCCCCCACCAGCGGCCCCTTCTCATGCAGCCACCAAACAGGAAGTGATGCGTGTTTCCACATGGAGGCCATGTTAGTGGATGATCAGACATGTCGTCAGCCGCCAGCGCCTCGGCCCATCCAGCCTTGGATCTGGGAGGCGATGTCTGCTGAGGACGGACACAAACATTCACCTCTCCCAGAGGAGAGCACGCTGTGAGAGGAGGAAGACTATGATGATGAAGACGATTGAACCAAGAGGCAGAGGGTCACCTGCTGTGGTCTCCATGATCAGGACACGGAGAGGAACGGCTAAAAACAAGGACAGGAACCATTAGAACCAGAGAGGATTCCTGGGTTGGATCCTTTCAACAGGTTGATCCACACCTGAAACCCTGGAGCTATGCTAATGCTAACTAGCCACAGAGGGGCGCTGTGTGCAGGAGGACCTACCCTGAGTGGATGGGGCTGGAGGACAGAGCCACGTTGTCCAGGTTCTCTGTTCCCCAGCTCAGTCTGTAGGAGTCCCTCTCATTGTCTCTGGCCAGCGATGAGACCTGGAACCCAACAGACGGCGTTACCTTCATTCATCTGGAAACGGGCCGCTCAGCACCGGAGCGGGCCGCTGCACGGCGCTCTGAGCCACGGCAGACCTGTCCGTCTGCAGCACAGCCAGCGCTGAGAAAAGGTTCCTGCTAGGGGAGTACCTGCTGGGCCTGGAACGTCTCGCCGCCTTCGTGTCTCGGAGAGTAGAAGCCATGATGGGTGGGAGTGAAGGACCTGTCAGAACTGAAGCACAGCAGACCAGAGGAAGGTGAAACCATAGCTGACCCGGAGCAACCAGCCAACAGGTCCAGGACCGGACTACATCCAGGACCGGACTAGATCCAGGACCGGACTGGATCCGGTTCTGCGACCCAGACTCGCCTGTTTCTGACGCAATGAGAGGAAACAGATTCATCCTGTGCTGCTAGACTATGGAGGGAAATCAGCTGCATTATTTCTGCAAAGTTTTATAGATGGAATGAAATAATTGAGAATTAAACCTAGAAATTCTTCATAGATCAAAATGTTTGTAGAGCTACTAAACAGATCAGATCCTCTTCCTCTGGGGGCGGGCTTTAGGAGCAAGGGCACATTTCTATTGGTCTGCTGGAAGATAGCAGCAACACAGAAACTTTTCTGATAAAGAGAAATAAAACATATATATATATATATAAAAATATATAATCTGCAAAAAAAGTGTTTTTTCAAAAAATAAAATATATAAAAATAAAATGTGAGAAACTCTAAAAGTTTCTCTGAGAAGCTTTTTCTGTTCCAGAAGTTTTCCTTTGAATAAATATCTGTAGTAAATGAGCCGGAGCGGCACCCACCTGTCGGTGCGGGGCCCCTCCAGGCTGAAGCGCAGGTAGTTCATTCCATCCAAGTACTGTCCTGGCAGCGAATCGTCTCCCAGCTCTCTGAGGTCCTCGGGTCTCAGGTACTCTCCCCCGTCCCCCGTCATGGTGTCATCACCTTCAGGAAAACAGTTGCCTGAGTTTAATTAGCTCGACGTTTAGCTGCACTGATGCAAAGCCCTGAAGCTGCAGCTGCTCTGCGGCTGCAGGGTTAGCATAGCAGGGGTCCGTTAGCCCTGAAGCTGCAGCTGCTCTGCGGCTGCAGGGTTAGCATAGCAGGGGTC